ATGTTCAAACTTCAGAAGTACTCTCAATAATGGGGAAAAAAGGACCAAGGCGTCTCAACTTTATAAGATTGTAAACAAGCTTTAAGATTTCTGTACATATTTCAAAATAAATACTACCTATTAATATTAAAAAATTTTGAATTTAGCCCCCCCCCAAAAAAAAAATTCTGGGTGCGCCCCTGAACGCGACCGTACTTTTCGCGACGCGGTGCGTGTTATAACTTATAGTATTGGGAAGTCACAAAATGTTCGAACATGAACAAAAATAATATTAGTTGGTTAAAAAAAATTTGTGGTTTACATTGCTCAGCCCGGTATTCCACGTTGCCCGTAATATGTATATTTTAATCCACTAATTTCGGTATTCAGAGAGAGTTAACTCGTACACACGGTATTATCGCAATGCGAGTGGCGACACACGCTACACACGCTTCAAGAATGAGCAACGTGTGAGAGGCTCATTAGACACGATTTCTACTACCAAATTATACGTAATACGTTTCACTAAAAGCATAACGATAGGTAAAACAAATGGACCTAACAAATATTTACGTACGCGCCATTGTGCATCGGCACCGATGAACAGCAGGCAGACAGTTATCATGGAAAAGGGCTGTGCAGTTTATGGTCACGGGGGTGGGGCTAGAGGGGATCGAAAGATCAACCGACCTATCTCGCGTTATCGCGTGGATCGGCTATGAAATCCAGATTGCAAAATGGATGGTAGTTTGAACAACTGTTTTGAAATTAGTACGAGTCGAGACGTCTTGTCTGGTGAACATTTTTTTTTCCTTTGTGTAGCTTTTTCTATATTACGGAGCAGCACTTACATTTTTTTGTAATATTTAATCAGCTAATACTCGTGAAATATTTCGTGATATAAATTATAATCTATAAGAATTATTTTAACATAATTATTAAAGATATTTAAATTGAATTGTACCTATATTAGTGTCAGTGTTTATGCACGTGTAAATATATAGTAAATCAGAATTATAAGCACAATTAGCAAATTTAGGATATAATCTTATCATTTAAAAAAAAATGTTTGATAATATTTTTTTTAAATGAAGGGATAACATTATTTAAATCGTGAAAGTATATTATGGGTACAACTATCGTAATGGAATCATTATTTTGAAAACAATTTTTGGTGTTCTGAACTTACCTCCCACTGAATACGTTCCTGATAGGTTACCATTTAGCTAATACCTATAACAGTGTACCAAAACATTAGTTTATTTAGTTAACAAAATGGTTTAAATATAACAACTATTTTTTACAGAGTTCAATATAATGAACATATACAAATTTGTATCAATGCAATTATATTTAAATTATAGGTATTCCATTCTATAAGTAGGTACATTCGTAAAAATAAAATGTCCATATTATGACTAAATATAGTAAAAGCCTAATCTTGCCAATTAATTCCTTTAACGTGAATTCATTTAAATTCTACACAAGACATTTTTGAATTATTTTGTACTACATATAAGTAGTATTTTGTTTTTTGTTTCATTGTTTGCAACAACGCAAAACTGTTGAATTTAATTAGAATTTAGCTTTTATTTTATTCAATTGTGTAGGTATTTGTGTAACACTTCAGTAAAATACCACCCAGCTTGATTCATTTAACGTAAGACACCCGATATTTCAAAACTATTATTAACGTTTTAGAAAATATTTGTTTTACATAATTGTAAGTCTTTTAAAAAACAACAGCTTTCTAATAAATTTTTTAATTTACTATTTTTATTGATATTGTTTCTAAAAAATTGTTTTTTAGTGACTTCGTGCATTTTTAATTCCTTATTTTAAAGCAGAATATTTCGTATGTAGTAGTTCATCATTGAATCCAAATTTGACAAATCCATTACAATGATATACTCGATAACTACTGTACAGTAGAACAAAAAACAGAAAAATTATTATAAATGTTTATAATGTAACATTGTAAGTTGTAACTAATGAGATGCATGTGACTGTTTATATTTGAAAAATTTGAGAATGCTAAGTTTTATTTTTGATAACTGTAGTTGGAGGTCAGTGTGTGCATTGAGAAGGTTCAGGTATTTAGTTTTAGTTGCTAAGTAAGCTGAAAATCGTGACTCACATATTATTATAAGTTTCAATTTGAAATAAACAAAAATCGAAAAAATTACAATGGATCATAGTGTTCCTGGAAAATATTATTAGTGCACAATTTAGAAACCACAGGTTTAATTTAACCCTTCATCCCATCCATTGAAAATATTTATGTATTTCCGTTGTTTATGGTTAATCAAATTTATAATTGTAACTAATCATTTAATAATTAATAAGAGTAGTCCCTGCCTAATTATATTTTACTCCCACATCACCTCCAAAATCATCACCCCTCTTCACAGCTTCAAACACACCAACGACACAGAAATAGATCCACCCTCGTCGCTACTGTCGGTACTGACACCACCAACCACTCCCCCATACCGATCAAATACTGACTTTACTGATTCCCAGGGTATTAGGACGCCACCGCCACAAGTATGCGGTGGGTGGTGACATACCGCTAAGCCGTGCGCGCGCGCGCAATATCTCTTACTCAGTTGCAGATCCAGGACCTGGGCATGAAATCTTTACAGCCTTGATTCATTGGGTGACTGTACTACGAATTGACGTGTACTGGTATCCGTTCGATTACGACGACTTTTCCATCCACCCCACATTTCTACGTCGTCGTCATTATCATCGATCGTATTTAGGTGCGGTCGAAGTAGGTACACAACATGTTCCGTTTTCTCAAGAAGCGTTTGATATCCTTTTTTAAAATCGTAAAAAGATGGTGTGTATAATAATACTTAATTATATTATTAAAGTTGTATTAGATATTTTTATAGATATATTATAATATAGTGTATTTGTTTTGTCAGTAGAGGTGAGTTATAGTTTTTTAGAGAAGTTAATGTTTGTTTAGTAATATTATTGTCCATCGTCACCGTCCGTTGTTGTAATTGCATTTTTATATACCATAAAAAACTTTCAAAAGAAAGTAAATAATTATTATTTTAGGTACCGATTTTCATGAAATTGTGATAAAATTATAATAAAAATAATACATAAATTGTGTGTATATTAAGTAGATCTACTGAATCAACCATAATATCAATATAGTACGATAAAATACATACAATTGGCATAAAAAACAGAGCATTGCAATAATATTAGGAGTATTGGTAAGTTTTGATGAAATATTTTTGTTTTTAAAAATGCCAGCGATTAGACGAACAAACTTAAGTCGCGGAACTCACAATGCTAAAGTCAAAGATATACAATATCAAGTAAAACACATTATTTGAGGGACAAAAAGGTCTGGTTGCAGGTTACTGGAAACCCACCGTGCCATAAAATCGGGCGGAACAGGTTTAAGCATGCATTAAATCGAATCTTCGCACATTGCCTACCGAGGAGGCTGAGTTGCACTTATAGTCGCTCATCGGAATGTCCACAATCAAAATACAAAATAAAATAAAAATAAAACATATTCTTCACAAAATCATATAGATAGAAATATAGTATGCAAGTAGTGTGATCCGCAATCCATCGAAGGTGGATTGCCTACCTTATAATAATACTGCTCGCATTATCACCATCAAGTCTCTTATGTAGAGATGGCATTGTTAACGGGTAACGAAGTGTATGGGATCAGCAGATCAGCTAGTAGATATATATATTATATTGTTTACAAATTAATATTATGTAGTACTGACTGTTTACACTGCACTTAATAATTAATGTTTTATTGTTATTTGTTCCACGTAAATAAACATAAAAAAATAAGATGATTTCTTAACAATCCTTTAATCGTAAATTCTAGGCCATTACCACAAATTTTATTTCATTTAATGTTATCTTTTTTCTGTAAAAATTGTAGTTCAGCAAATAGTGTGGTGGTGATTAATTGGTTAAAATTAATTTTTGAACATATTTCTAAATAATATAATAACTGTAGTTTAATAAGGTATCTTCCAAGTATACGCATTTGAAATTACCCACACAATAAACAATTTACCGACAATTTGAATGCCTATAACATATAAAACTATAATTGTAGAAATAATATATAATATGATATAATTGAGATATTATGTATCTTTTTATTATGATATTATTATATTATTATATTAAGTATTTATACGCTTTTCTCATAAATATATCACGTTGGTAGGTAGGTACTAAATACAAGATACTAGACTTATCTACTACCAACTGCACGTAAGATATCAAGATTCAAGATATCGAGGAATATCGAATCTTTAGATCAAGGACAGAATACGTATTGTAGGCGAGGCGATATATTTTATACGGCACGTTTATATTGAAACCGAAGTACCACTAATTGTTTCATTAAGGCCCCTGCAAATGTGTAATTTTTAAGGAGTTGTGTTTAGGCAATTATTTCGTTACTGCGATTACTGATTGTCTTTATGTGTGTAGTAAATGATCATTAGTGTGTGTATACTCCCCTACCATCACCCGCGACCAGCATCAATTTACAATACATTGTTATTTCTTATCTGATTTATGGTCGCACGCACGCACACACACACAAGTCATTCAATGTCTAGATCAAAATATTCAAAACCAATTTATGGACGTGAAAGAGCCGTCGCACTGACAACAATTTAGGTACTTCTAGTGGTTCGATTTAAAAAATGTTAAGATGTTTGTGTTGGTCAACAAGTTTACATTGCATCGGTCGGAGCACTTTTTCAATTTTAGAAAAATTGTTGACGAGAATAAATATTTTACATTTTATAAATTTATAAATTTTTAGTATTGAATATCTTCAAAAATATCAAAAATATCAAAAATATGGTCCGACCGATGCAAAATAGACTTGTTGACCAATTAAAACATCTTTACATTTTTAAAATCGTAAAACTAGAAGTACTTAAATTTTTGTCAGTAGCTAAGGTCGATTTGTTGAAAAATGAATAGAATTTGCAGGGGCCTTAAGTTATTTTACACTCGAAAATCCACGACGTTTAAATAGGTAATAATCGGAAAGAGACTATTATTTATATCAACATATTATAGGTTACTTTGCAATGAGCTCATACAAATTCAACTGGTTTGTAGTTATGAGAACGTGTTTTTCAGTTTTAAAATATTGAACCACTGAATAAGTATCTTTTGTACCTCAGTAAAAAAAAATCACTATATAATAATTTAACGCGCTCTGTAGTCGTATTATTTAGTAGTGTACCTAGTCGTACGTTTTTACTTTAAATACATATTACCATTTAGTTTTTTAAAATGTATCTATTCTAAGAAAGGTATTCATTGAAACGGCGTGAGGAACCTCTTCCAGTAGTGGCTTGTGACTTTGTGATTAAATGTTTTGGAGGGATTAATTAGTTTCTACAATTATTAAATGTAATAAATTATGACAGTGTACGTTATACAGTGACTACCTCCTACCCCCTCGATATGCTTGATGTCTTTACGACAAAATACAATAATCTATTTATATATATATATCTAAATATCTTACCCTACTACCCCGCACTACCATGCGTAGGTACGAATAATCGAGTAAATGAAAAAAAAGCCCCTATGTTGTTAAGCTTTGCATACACGCAATGCTTGTCTAGTAGTATAAGATCTATACAAACGACTAAACCTCGAACTGCCCTTCCACTGACTACCCAGTTATGAATCACGATACCCACCTGTCATATCGATTAGATAATATGTTCGGGGCCCAAACACCAGACCAAATGTCCTCACGGACACGGGCTGGTATATTTTTTTGTTAACGTTGCCAAAATATTTATTCTGACAATTGAATAATTATTATTCTATAATATACTTCATAGGATATATATATATATATGTTTACTAATCAAGGTTACTGCCGTACAAATATGACACCAGAACACATGGAGAAAAATATAGTTGTTAACTGTTTTCAAAAATTTTCGTAATTAAAAATACCTTATTGTTATTAATATAATTTAATCAATTTTTTTTTAACATGTATTATTTTGCTTATTTTTTGCATATTATTTTTTATCATATACTTTTGCATATTACTTTGTATCATATACTTAATTATATCAGTTTTTTGTATTATTTTACATATAAATGAATATTTTTATTTCAAGAGAATATTTTAATAAAAAAGCATATTTTTCGCATATTTTATTATGATTTTTAAAGAATATTGGAAGAATATTTTCAAATTTTTAAGAGAATATTAGCATCTTATTTTGGCTATTTTAAAAGAATATAATTCCGGCCCCTACTAATAACACATTTTAGTTGATAGTATTAGCATTTTATTACATTTATATATAAGAGAAAAACAACATGTTAATAACTTAGTAAGTAAGCAATAAATATAAACAATTGGATAAGTCGTACATTATAGGTTAAGTGCAGTGTTACCTGCGCACAATATACAATAGTACTTCTCTCTTGAGTATAATATACTTCATTCTGTATTGTTATAAATTATATAAATTATATAAATCAATTTAATAATTATTAAAATTTAATCAATAAAATAAAATTTAATTTAATTAACATATTTGATTTATTTTTACAAGTTTAATTTTTCAATTGGTTCAATTACTCTTTTAGGTTTCCTAATTGCTAAAGGTGTACAAAGTTTAGTTTTTTAATTAAAATTAGTAAGTTCTACACTTTCCTCGCTTTGCTTAATAACACTCTCTACATCTAACTTGGCATATGCTGAAATTATTTGGTTGAAATGTCTTTTCCAAGTTAGTCCTTCTTCTATTTTTACTATATATGTTCTGTCATCCAGCACTCCTAAAATTATTTCATTTATCCATATTAGTGATTTAGTATTTCTATAGTTTTTAGTATGTATACTGTATCACCACTTTATGTAACTCTTCCCTTCATCTCTTATTTTTTTGTTGAATCTGCCTATTTTTGTGTATCACTAAAAATCTAGTCTGGTTCTTATCACTAAAATCAATATAATTTAGATGGTAATTCATTAGAAGTCCAATTTGGTGAATTTCTATACATAATTAAATATTTTGATATTAGGGTTGACATTGGAATATTGGAACATTGGTATTTTTTTTTATCTTTTAAAGCTTTTAACATTGCTGATTTAATTGATTTGATAGCATTTTCTGCAGAGCCATTTGTTGCAGGATGATATGGAGAAGGTGTTAATTGCTTGATCTTGTTTGATTTACAAAAGTTTTTGAGTTCTTAGGATACTAAATGCGCACTATTGTCACTCACTAAATATCCAGTTTAACCAAAAAGTGTAAAGATTTCTCTTAATTTTAAAATTTAAAACAAGTTTTCTTATATATTTCTCTACCTTTATCAAAAAAAAATTTCTACCGGTAAGTCAAATTAAATTTTTATGAGCGTTTAAGTTTAAATTTTTACAACATTGGATATTCACTTGATTTCTCATGTAATATTTATTTCTTATATTCTGTTGTAATTCAAAAACGAATATTACTGTAGAGTGTAGACACTTGAAATTTTCAAAATATTTTGACTTGTTTTAAGCTGTTGGCAAACATTTTCAGTTTTCATTTGTTTTTATAAATTTCAATAACATTTTATTGGTCGGGTCAAATAGCATGAATATTAATTAATACAAGAATCTTGAGTCTTGATATATCGTTACAATTGCAGTTTGAAAAATAATAAAAAGTACATAAGCACAGTAATTTTTCTAAGTAAATAAAGTTCAAATGTTGACAATATTTATCAAAATTAAAATTTTAAATAATTTTGTAGTTAAAAATTTATAAAATTTTGAATTTTTAAAGCTAAGGATTGAACATTTAAAACGAGGGTATATGTAAGTTATTAATGCTGTAATCAAAAAATACAAATATAAACATAAACACACCTTTTTTATAGTTATTTTAAGTTCAAATTTAGGCCAAATTACATATTAACACAAATAATAACGATTTTAGTCATTTTATCGTAATTAGGTTGCAAACTTGCAAAAACACCCAATTTTATACAAGCATATTTAATATTTTTCCAGTATAACTGATGATTTAATAATAATATTATGAATAATATTAATTCAACTTACCGGCTACCGTATTAATAATGAGTAATAACAACATAAAATATCCTAGACTGACTATCGTCTCCACTCTGAATCGTTTTTCCGTATGCAGTTCATGAATTTAATTTTAATACCATCCATTACAGCGACCTTTTAGACACCTAATATACAGCAGCGCGGCATCCACTTAACCGATTTTTTTTTTGGTAACTCATTTAATCTCATATTATCGACATCATACTTTTCACTCAGTTTCACAGAATTGTTGATATTTTTTACTTCCATATTAAATCACTTCATTAGATCTTTGCCCAATAATGGTGTATTTTCACTTTTAAAAATAATTAGCTGGGATATTATTAGCTCAATATTATTAATTTCAATTTTAACATTGATGGATCCACTGGTTCTATAATCAAGCTATTGTATGTTTTTAATCTTACTTTTGTTGGTTCAATTGGACAAGTCAGAAATTGATCCCATATTGACATAGACACTGATCATTTGAACTAATATTGCCCTTGTGACACCATGTCCGTCTTATTTTTTGGTCACTAACGGACATAAATAGTAAATTAATAATAATATAGATTTAATAGTATTTTTAATTACTGATCAATGTTAACAACTTTATTTTGATAACCAATCATTCGTATGTTTATTGAAAACTGATATTTTTAAAGTATAAGACGTACGAAATATATAGGCGTTTAAATACAAGTTGGACAGTTCATAATTTCATACTGCGTTTGCTGGATGAAAGCGAATAATGGGCGTGTGAACAGCGTCGGTGACTAACTCACTAGGAAACTATTACACTACACAGACATAGGTATAGTAGAAGTTAAGTAGCCGTTTTTTTTATGCTATACTCTAAACAAGTTTCAAGATATTTTGTCTTTTGTGATGTCATTGTCACGGTTCATAATTAAACCACTTAAAAAGTTCACATTCAAAAAGCAACCATCCCACGTCGTCGTTGTGAGTTTTATGTATGATAAAACCAGGGGAGTACTCATAAAATAATAACTAAATATGTTTATTATCAATTACAACAAATTACAATCGATAATATTTTGTTGTTGTGGGGTTGAGAGTTTGGAAATCGAAATTTGAATCAAAATTTTGTAACAAAATACAAAATAACAAGTCAACTGTTGCTGAACTTTAGAACCATGCGATGTTGATAAAGAAAATAAATACTTAAACAATTATTGATACCAGGTTGTTACTCCAGTAAGTATCTAGTTCTGCTGTCAAACTTTCCGATTCAGTACTTTACTAGGTCGGCCCGCAACTAACTTGACTTTTGGTTGCTCAGTTACTTTTTTTTAGTAGTAATATGACTAACCAATTTTGTAACTATACCTATCTATTATTTGTGTTTTGCCTTTTCGCAGGATTACTTGTCAGTCTGCTAGTAATAGTGATTGGTCGATTGAGTTGCCCTTCAGTTTATCAGAGGATTCGTCCAGTAACTTGTTAGTGGATTCTCTCATGAACTTGCAAGATGTTTCATTTGAAGAATTACCGTCTCATCAGGTGGTCAAGAAATTAAAGAAAGAATACATAGAAGTACTAAATCATATTATCAACATAAAAGTAAACATCGTTTGATTTTTCTGTTTTTTTTTTTTGTTAGTTCAATACCACTATTTTTTGTTTTTTGTTTCTCAGGTGAGTGACCTGATTAATCGCATGAACAACAAGGTAAAATGCGTCCCTTTGAATACAATTGTAAAATGTGCAAAAGTAATATTTCCATTCATAGAAATCAATGGTAATTAATCCATAAATTTAACATTCCAATAATTGTGTTCGACTCGGTAAAATTATATTATGCAATAATAGCAATTTTTTTCTAGGGAGCAGTTTGCTATTGTGGTTAATTAATACAATGGAGTTTGACCCTGGTAAAACAGCCAATAGTCTGGTTGAAAATTAAAACTTTTTGCACTGAAAATAATTGATACAACATTTTAATTTTAGATGAAGCATTATATTTGGCAAATCTATTGTCATCACACATCATTGGGTTCACAATTCTTAATTATTATCTGACTGAGTTGAAGGTCGGTTGCTTTTATCGTAATCTAGTAAATATTAACACCTATATCTACCTATTACAACTATTTATAATTCTACAACTACATGTCTACATTTACATAAGTCTTATGCATGAGCAATCACTAAACTTTTAACGAATCAATACTGATGTAATGGTCCCTTAAGAGGACGCTACACCCACATGTGTTGTCTCCGTCTTACAAGAGCGTAACATATCAAATTGTTCGTTCAGCAGTTCACGTTTAGTTCAATTAGCTTAAAAATTAGAGTGAATTGACCTCTTATTAAAATTAAAGATAAGATTATTACGGAGGGCTTCTCATGGGATTTTTATTGTATTTTAATTTAAAGAGAGTTATGTGTATTTTAAGTTGTACAACAATTTAAAATGTTTAAATACTCATAACTCTCTTTAAAATTAAAATATAATAAAAATCCCACGTAGAGCCCTCCGTAATAATCTAACCTTCAATTTTAATAAGAGGTCAATTCATTCTAATTTCTAAGATAATTGAACTAAACGTGAACTGTTGAACGTACAATTTGATACGTTATGCTCTTGTAAGACGGATACCACACATGCGGGTATAACGTGTTCTTAAACTGATTAAGTAATGGTCCATGTTTGGTCCATTAAATTGTATTGAACCATTTAATAAATAGATTTTTCATGCAACGGTATAACTTATACCAAAAAAAAAAAGTTAATGTTATATATCAGGGAATATTTATAATTACCTAATTAAGTTTATTATTTTATCATTTAAATGTTAATATTTACACTTATTTGTTACAGTGTCCAAGTTCACAAATGACTTATAAAACTCGCTTGAATGATTATGACTATGGTAAATATAAATTATAATTATGCCACAGCATAAATTATATTATATGTTCAGAACTCGTTATTTAATATCAAGGTTATTAAAATTTAAGTTTCTCGTTGATTCCAATCCTAAATAATAAAATATATTTATTAATATGGTTTTATTTTAATTTTAACTTTCAGAGTTAATCTTTATATGCATTTTTTAGCTGTATACCTGTGTAAAAAAGAAATCGAAGAAAACATTCATGGAGATTTGCTGAACTATAAAGTGAAAAAAAATGCGAAAGCTATGGTAGATGTTAATAAATGGAAATTTGAGTTTCAACCATCCAATGATAAGTCATCACGTACATTTTATAATAAAAATGTAATTTTATAAAATTCGTTTTAATTAGATTACTTAATGGTAATTGCTAACCAAATTTTGAAATAGTTAAAATTACATAATATTTGTGCTTTTTGCCCAGTTGCCAAAACATAGAACAAAAAATTTAAAAAATGTTAACTACAACTAATTCTAAATTTAAAATTCAGTATACTATATCGTACAAATCGTTTCTTAATTAAATCTATTTACTCTTTGTTAAGAAATAACATTTTTCCTATGAACATAAATCTTTATTTCAGTAATTAAAAGGCATTAATACCCGTAAACTTGATACCTCTTAATTGTTTTCATATATTATATTGAAGTATTCACACTAGCCTTATAATTATGATATAGAGTAAAACAACTCAAATCAGTCAAGGACAAAAAAAAATTTGATTATTTTTATTAAATTTTAATCAGTTATCAGTAAACATAAAATCATATCAATTGATTTTTAAATCACCAAAATATTGTATAATAATATTAAAGTTATGGACTGTGGACAAATTAGTGGATCATTTTTTTTTTTTTATATATATAAAATTAGTATAATCTATAGTATTATAATATTGTGATAGTTTAAGGTAGCCGGTAATATATTTAAATTTCTAAAATTTGTATTATATTAATTATCAACTATAGATACCCACAAATATTTCATGAGAAATTAACAACCTAACTTTAATGTAAGGCCTATTAAAAAAAAAAGTAAATCCTCAGGCTTTTAGATACCTTAATCCAGTGGTTCCCAAAAATTTTCATTCTCCTCCCCCTCACAAATCAATTGTAAACATATAGAATTATTATTTACATATAAAATTCTCACACCCTTTCCCCCTTAAACTAGAGATGACCTTTTTTGTTTGTTTTTATGATACAAAATAACTATATATTAAACTGTATAATTAAATGTTGTACCTATCAGTATTACCTGTAAACAGGTCATGGCATAATTATTTTAACAACAAAATTCTTGTTATTTTATTATCGCTGTTTCCCCCCCCCCCTACAGTATGTAAATCCCCGTCTATGGAGGGGGATTCCACTTCGGTTAGGAAACACTGACTTCACCATGATCTTCATAAAATTATCTCATTACACTGATGTGAACTGTTTTATTAAAGAGATTTATGTTTACCGCTTAATGTTATGATTTATGAGGTAGGTAAGGTTGGAAGTTTTGACAAATATTTAATAACTTCTGATCTTATGTACCTTATACAGCTTAACAACAAGGTGAGCTAATTCAAAATTGAAACAAAAATATTTAATCGTTACACAATAATTCAAATTGCTTGGATTCATTTTTATATTCCATCTACATTAATGTATGTTTTTAATGTATTAAATTTATTAATTTTTTACTTTTTGTAAAACCATATTTTTTACCTAGCACATAATAATTTGTCTATCAAGGTAATAAATTAATTCAAAATTATCTAGTAGTATCTTGTTATACGATAGCAATAATTTATAATTCACTTTTTTCTGTATACATACCTACTATATTATAAAAAAATTTTGGATTTTTTAGCACAGCATCTTCTTTATCCAGCAATTAAAAATTTTATGTAATAAAAAATAATCATTTTATAATCATATCTTAGTTGTATTAGTTTGTGTAATCTGGGTTCATGTATTGAACATTTCCCTCCGTTTAATCATTTTCATATGTTTTACTGTTTGTATATGTCGTAATTACACTAGATCGCTGTTCTTATTCTACTTTAATTTCATATATTTCGCAAAATAAAATTTTTCTGTCTGCGGAAAATACATTATCCCCGAATTCCAAAATGAAACTTCTCAACCGGCTAATTTGAGTTTTTTTTCTATTGGCATATTATACCACAAATATGAGCGCTAATAAATACAAAAAATAACGAATACAAATACGAACACGACAACGATCGATGTCTGTCGATCACTATGTACTGGCAAACAAAATAATGCTGTAAAAGACAGATTAATTAAAAATAATATTGTCCTCAGAGCTAAAAATAAAATGGGTTCCCCGTAACGCTATTGATTATCGCCTTATCGGTATTATTGCCGACAAAATCATGTAGATAAAATATATTTGAGATTTTATTGATTTTATTTACTCAATAATCAAAAATTATTTTAAAATATGCGATAAAAATCAATAAATCTTAAAAATATGCATTTGTAGAAAAAATTTCAAAATATGCAAACATATTCACAATAAACTTTTAAACTTTAACTCCAAACACCACAACACAAATTTGTACTGGATCAGATTTATTATATTTACTTCCAGAACAAATATGCAAATGCATAAAGTCCCGAGCCCTGTACATTACTAATGTACAAGTTATTATAATATGATATAAATATCTTAACAAAAACATTTTGTCGAAGTAAGTGTAAAAAACGGTTAAGTAAAAAAAGGAACAGATCTTTAAGCACTATAAAGATATGATATAATAAATAAATGCTAAGTAAATTGAAGTACACTTATTTTGTTTCATTAATTAATTTACTTGACGAGAACTTATAAACTTTATATGACGCGGTAAACAAAATAAACAAAAGGCATTAGAAGTTCATTATAATTTAAAATATTTTAATAGACATTTTTACTCAAAATGATTTCTCGATAATGATTAATTTTTGAAGTTACACCGTAATTAAAACCACATGTATGCAATACACTAACTAAATCTTTAGCTTATTGAACTATTACTCTAAAACCTTCTGTAGTATTTTTTTGTTAAAAAGTGGTCTTCTGTTATTAATTTGTTCAATACATTTGTTTCTCAACCATTCAACCAAATTAATGTATTCTCTAAAACCTTTAAAACATAAATCAACGTTAACAGTTATGATAGCTCTTTAAGTTTTTAATAAATACAAAAAAATACTTTCTTATAGTTTTTCTTTCATAACACAAGTTTCTATAACATGTATCATAACACAACACAAAAACTCGTGCTCATATTACACATATATTAAAACCTCAATATCTTTGCTATTTTTTTTTATTCCTTCTTCAGGAATTTTTCCATTCAAAGCATGAAAGAAGCCATTCATTATTGAAGTGAACTGAATGGTTTCCCTAAAACACAGTCTTCAAAGCCACAAACTAGTTGCAGTCTTTTAAAAAATGCTATCCCATTCACCATAGAATTACTTAACATCTAAAGAAATACATATATTATTGCAATTTAATAGTCTAAATAGTTTCGATACTAATAGGTTGTAGCAATAGCAATAGCAGTTGAAACTCTTTTAATAGTTCTACATACAGTAGATTTATTAACTCTGATATGATCACCTATAACTGCCTGAAATTAAAATTGTATAACTAATATATTTATATCTATTGCTTTAAAATGTAATTATTTAATTAGCGAAAGTATAATGTCTATGCTTATTATATTTTGATAAAATATTATATAATTTTTACTTGAAATGTTACAGTAGCATAATAACGAAGAGTTATTAACACTTGTACTTCTGGAGACAGTGCAACATTTCTTTTTGTTTTGTGTTTAACATCTTGAACAATAAAATGCATTAAGACACCAAAACTTTCTTTTGAAAGCCTATTAATTAAAATAAAATATTATTTGATATAGATGCAATTGTATATATATAAAATATATAAAGCATTGGCCTGCCAAACTGACAAGCAGACCTAAGCAAACTATACAATTTGATCCCCCTCCCCACCATCATCAGTTTCTTCACTATTTTTTTTTATTATTCAAAATAATAAATATTATTAAGTTTTTTAGGTATAAGTTGCACATCTATACTAACACACCCCACACACCTACTCAAATTTTCCCTGAGGGAATTGCCTTAAAAAATTACTATTCAGCACGCCTCTGATAGTCTGATATAATATATAAACCTATAGATTCCCATAATCAGGACTGGGAATTTTGTATTTTAAAATATTTTTTTGAAAGGATGCCAGCTCACTATTTTTTAATCATTGACAATTTTTTAAGTGCTTGTGTGTCATGTACATACTCTATTCATTTGATGTGTGTAATAAACAATCATGTGCATGTATTGTGTTAACCTATTGATGTATAAATATGTAGGTATAAAAATGTACAATTACTTATGTTTTAATGAAAATATTTGTATAATAGTAATATAGCATCATTAAATTATAACATTCAAATCGTGGATAAATTTTGTAAATATACTATATAGGTAGGTACCTAAATATAAGTAGAAAATAATGTTTTGAAATTCAATTAATTATAACACTAGTTATTTGTTATTATGTGGTTTATTTCTAATGAAATTTATAAACTAATAAAAAATTAATTAAACTTAATATTTTTTATACACCTAATCACAAAGAATTTTATTTTCATATGACGTGTATTTTATTTTTTTAAGACGGTCCGTAGTAGGTAATCAAGTATTCAAGTATCCTTAGAGGAGGCCTAGGTATCTATGCAACGTACAAAAACCAAATTTTGTGTTCAACAGTTCCAATTTGACGTGGATAGGTATATTTACCTAGATAGTAATCTTAATTAATAGAGTGAATTTACCTATTATTCAACTAAAAAATAAGAACATTATCTGGGCGTATCATATCTATTCATTATCTCGTGAGATTTTTTTAAAATTATTTTAACATGTAACATGAGAATTTTAAAATTGCTCATTCCTAGTTAGTTCATCTTAACCATTGGGCATTGGCGACCGCTACGATTATATACTTTTATATACTTGTCTAACCTAAGTACCTAACCTAACCTGACAATTACTATACTACAATGGAAATTTTAAAGTAATACCGTGTTGGTAACAGTGACGTCAGCCGATAGACAAGACAGCTGCACGGGTTATACCTACCTATTAATAAATAATTCAATATATATATTTGATATTATGAAGTCGTGTACCTACTCGATTACGATACTACGGTACAGAAGGACCTACACAATACACCTAGCTGATTTTATATGATGTAATACCTATATATATTTTAATATTTATAATTTATGTTTATAAACGTTAAAAATATTACCTACCTAAAACGGCATTTAAAATCAAAGTCATCAAACTCTTCGAGAGGATTTGATCTATCTCGGAAAAGCCTTGGTCTTGGTAGATGATACAACATATCCATGAAAAATTCATCATCGGAATCCGATGTACTTATTTCCGAACTATCTAACATGATTACCTATATATTATTGTATATTACTAAGTACTAAATAATTACTGTAGATCGATAATCGATGTATAATGTTAATGTATATAATATGCAAATTTTAATAACTAGTAAGTAGTAGGTATAACTCGTATAGTCGTATTGGTAGGCATATATTAGCTATCTTGATATTTGAGAAAAAATTATAATTGTGTGATAAACCGTTGCTTAAATATTTAGTGAGCCGAAATCTGATCACTAATTTAATGATCTGGTAACCGCTAGTTTAAGGAACCAATAAGTTTAATGACCGTTTAGTGAGCCATTAAATAATTTATTCATTCAATAGCGCGCTATTGGTTCATTAAATGTTTAATGAACGTTTATGCAACCCGGCATCAGTATTTAAACTAAAAATTTTTAAAATCTTACTTGTGAAGCATTTTTTTTTTCGCCTTTATTTTAGATAAATTATTTAGGTCAAAGTGATTTTTAGTAAATTTCAGATATATTTTAGTTAAGGACTCTGAATCTTGAAGAAAAGCATTTTCATAAATATTAAATATATTCATAAATATCAGACCCGCCGTTCAGTGTCTATGAGTAAAATTGGTTGTATATACCTACATTATACACACATAATGTATTGAAAATAAACATCGCAAGTAGGTAATTGTATTCGGCATGAATGCATGATAAACTAAAGATATTCTAATCATACGGATTGACGGTAGTATTTTTGAAATTATTTCATAATGTAAGCACCACGAAGGTTATGTTTACAGTAATAATGCAGATAACAATGAAATAATCATTGGAAGGAACTTGGAAAAATTATGTAAAAAAATCGGGGAAAAAATGCAAAAATTCTAGGCGGCTATGCAACAGCACAAGTCCACCATGGTATAGATGGCGACAATTTATCCGCCTCGTCCGGATTCGATCTCACCTATCCTGCGGATAACGCCTAACACCTAAAGCTAAGGGATACTTATTCAGATGTTTTCAAACGGGAAAATTTAAGGATCTAAGCCGTTTGTATTCGTTTGTATTCAGTAGCGAATACAGATTACTGCAATAAACATTGTTTAACCGATAAAATCCATAGGATATGGCCATTATTTTTATTGTATATAGTTAACAAAATAGATGTAAATATCGTGCTATTGAATGCAAATACATAGCAATTTCTGTTGTTGTACAAAAACTAAAATATTTGTATTGCATAGGTACATTATGCATTATTATGCAAATAGTATATGTATATGGTTCTGCATCAAATAGTTAATTTATTTAATATGTTATATACATATGTGTAACTATAAAATTAAGATATAGGTACATTAATATGTTAGTAGTATACAATTTAACGTTACTCATTCAGTTTAGAGTGTATTAATTATGAAATCTAATATTATATCTTAACATTGAGCATTAATGGTCAGGTTAGAATACTGTCTTTTATTTATTATTTTGAGAATTTATTTAAATCTAACCACAGAATTGTGTTGAACTTGTTATATGTGCATTATAACAGGCAGTTTATGCGAAAATAAATAGTTTTGTACATCATTGACATAGTATTACATTATTTATAGTATGATATTTAAAGCTTATTTATTGAATGTGTATTTATGTATGTAGCTATATAATTAATATAATATAGATATACATAAATATATTAGCAATATACAATAAATGTAGGGTATATTAATTACATTACATTGAAGGTCAGTTTTGTATAGTGTCTTTTATTTATTGTTATTTTGTATTTTTGAGTAGATTTATTTAAATAAAACCTCAGAATTGTGTGTTGATCTCATTGTAATTGCCTAATAGTTTAATTTAATTCTTAAAATGCCACACACAATTTGTGCGCAATAAGTAATATTCGTATTGCACTAACAGTTCCGTACCTATATCACGTTCGGACATTCCACAGTTGCAGAATTATTTAGGTATCAATATGGACTTAACTGTCGATGAAGAGTTCTGTTATATATTATTTATGTACATAAATTGAGTTACACAGTCGCAGAATTTAAGTGATAACTCAGATATTTAACCACCGACATGGGGTATTCTTACTGACGTTTGAAACACAGTCGAAGAACAGTTCTGTTTCATATAGGTACTCGTATTATTTATGTGTTTCATTTAAATATTTAACCAAAGGACAAAACTATATATAAATTATATAGACATTAAAAAAAAACAGTAAGTGTCATGCTCTGCTCTACGGCTTTGGTTCGGTCTCTAAATGCGATTTCGAAGCGTAAGAACCGAATAGGTAGAAAAACAGCACATGCACGGATTTTAAAAGAAACAAACTACCCGAATAGGGCACAGAAGACGGCAAACAAAGGTCGCTAGCGGAGAACGCAGGGTTAAAATCAAAAATGTTGAAGAAATTTCGTCGAAGGTGTCGCGTTGATAAGGCTGAGGCGATATTTCAAAACGATAACGCTGCGATATTTTTTTTATTTCACTGGCTGGGCCGCGAGAAACCCGTGGAAGAAACGGCAACATGTCCTAGACTCCCGAGGGGAAGAAGTGAAACGTTACCATTTTATATGTATTACCCACTATCTATACCTATGGTAGATAATATGAATGTTTGTATTTGAAATACATAAATGATACACGTAGGTACACGTAGCCGCTGTGATATGATACCACTGCCGAGCCCGCGAACCTTAACCAACATGGTTTTTTTTTGGTTATGTGCTGTTATCAATCGTAAGCGTCTTTTTACGTAGTTATATTTCTTTGTATTATTTATGTTGTTGCTACTTCATTCGTTTATTGTCTGACCCCGTGGTCACGAGTCAGTCATCTTGGCATCTTGCTATTCTTGCAGGTTAAGTTAGTACAGTTATTTGGCCGTCCAGTCGCTTCGCTACTCCTGAGTCGCTAGACATTTCTCAGTCATCACCGGCACACGCGTCGCTACAATTCAAACATTTTTGTCAAATCATCCACAATGGCGGTGCAACAAGTAGTAAGTACTCATATATACACAATCTCACATGCCAAAAAAAAAATCACAAATCTCGGTATGGCGTATAATGATAGCGCCGGAAGAAACTACGTCTTAACCAGTGTTTGGAAAGAACGTCGTTCATGAACGCACGTTCATAAATAGTGAACGATACGTGAACGTCACTCGTATTTTTAAAATAGAACGTGAACGTGAACGACGTTAATATTTTTAATGAATTTGATCGATTTTTAAGACGTTCAATTTATTTACCATTTAATAAGTATATTTTTAAAATATTTTAATCAATCATATTATAATAATATTTTCCATTATAGTTCCTATGATATCGAATTTAAATTTAATTAGTAATTACTGAGAAAAAAAAATTAAATGAACGCCCAATAAACGCGTTCATTTTTTGAATGAACGTGAACGCGTTCGTTTGAAAAAAACAGGAACGTGAACGTGAACGAGTTCATTTTTTTAGTGAACGTTCCGAACACTGGTCTTAACACTTAGTGATCACACCGGGCTCGGCGTCGTGCCTTCGAATTTTTCTTGCTACATTTGCTTTCTTGAAATTTATTATTTGACGGCGTCGGCTCCAATCTGGTTAGTCTACGACTTATTTTATTTCATTCTCTCACACCTATGTCACATTTAACAATCGAGATTTTCTAAACTGTATCAGTATTAGGTCCTGCGTAACCATCAATACCAATGATGGCTTGTCGTATTGTGGGTTGTTATATTTATAATTTCAAAAGTGGTGATGCCATGTATAATCCATACAACTATTTGCCTCGAACCCAAAATTTACTACCACCATTGACCTATCAAGATACTGTTAATACTACTATTATTGTTAACATTGATTATACTAGGCTCAATAATTCGTCTGACTTCTGACGATCAACAGATTTTATTAGTTCACAATCATTTGATTCACACCTACTAATCAATTGTAGATTGTGTTCTTTGATATTGTTTAACGTTCCTGGTGTTTATTCAACATTACAACATTTGTTTATGAACTAATTTAGTACAAATTTAAATTTAATTTGTTTTTATACCAACCAATTAATACTAATAAAAATGTTATATACTATAGATTCCTGAAGAAATCACAGTCCAAGTGTTGGACCAGACTAATACTATGCTGGAGTTCCGTACAAAAACGAATATAAGACTAATAAAAATTATGGTTGCGTACTGCGTCAAAACTGTAAGTATAAGCTATTAAAACATATTTTATTTTATTGTTAACATTATGACTAAATAACTATGTAATATGTATTAGAAGTGGGATGTATTTTACCAAAAATTTACTCAGGCATCGATTACATTGTGGAAATGTGCACACTGATTAGCAACGATTAAAAACATGAGGCTAATGGTCTGATTAGTGATATAATTTTAAATCTATTGTAACGACTACTAGTCGTTAGCACTAGACATTTTTATAGCTAACTTGAACACAAAATAACACAACTCAAAAGAGAACATAATTCCTTGCAAGAGTAATGAAAATCGTAACCATTTTTAAATAGTGAAAAAGTATTACTTTAAGGAAGGTTGTTAAGTAGCAAGTAAATTTTGCGCAGTGTAATCAAGGCATAATATTTTAATATAGCAAAAAATAAATGTATTCAGTAGTAAACTCCAAGTTAGTTTGCCTATATTTAGACAAATTATATTTTTGCAATGCTAGGCAGAATAACTTTCTTTTAAAGATAAGTTTAAAATTAAAAGTTATTTTCCGAACTAGAAAATATCAGTAACTTAACTTAGTTAAAAATCAGTTACCTTTATTATCTTTTTTTAAAGCCAAAAAAAAAAACATAGTAATTTAATAGAATTCTTACAATTTCAATTAAAAGAGTGTATTAAAATTAATTAAAGTGGGTACTTAAATACTTAACCCTTTCTTGGCCAAGCACCGTTAAAGATAAAAATGTGGTATTTTTTTGCACAATTATAATTTTGTATTTTTTCGATGAATTTGAAAACCAAAAACAAAAAGTTTTTTTGGAAATGTATAGTTTTTTAAGGACTGGGACAAATAAGTCCCATTGGTCCTTTACAGTGCAGACTTTAAAGCCCCATAGGTCTGTTCCGGCAAATTAATTTGTTTATTTTCAATGGAGATTATAACGATATTGTTATTTTTTCTTGCTTACCTTCATTTAAAAAGAATGACCATAACAAATTAAACCATAAGTAATTTAATTGATTGTTATCATTTTTAATTTAAATTTAAAAATTACAGATCAAAAATTGAAATGGTCAATTTGTTTTAATGTACTTGTAAATTGTACATTTATTATACTATATAAGTAATAAGCATACATCAATGATAAAAGATTAATTTTTTTTTGTACTTTATATTATACAAAAAAAAAAATTCCATAATATATACCTAATTGGTTGGAAGGAAAAAATTAACACATAATGCATAATAATAATGTTTTATTTCATATCAACAACTTTTTTGTACAATAAAAGAATGTACTTATAACTAATATTTAATTATTTTGCATGGTATTCATTAAAACATGGTTTTTTTCATTTTGACATAAAAAAATTTACATGTAGAGCATTTCCTGAATGGTTTAGATTCAATTTTTTTTTTACTGCACACTTCACACCTACCCCTAGTATAAGAATATTCTATCCAGTGGGCTCCCAAGTTACCTAGTCTAACATCTGAAGGTATAGAGTATAATTGTTTGCCCCTTCTTGGTTGTAAACAATTTTTTTTGGTACTTGGAGATACATTAAAAGTTCTTTTTTGACCAGATTTATTTAAAACAATTAAACCTTGAGCTACAGATCGTCGATACTGTTTAACAGATAATTTTGTATTGTTGAGTTCATTATTTATAACAAAAGAATTAACAAAAACTATATCAATAATGCCCCAGAAAAACCTATGCCACCATTTTTTAGATTTTCTATCCACATTATACAAAGCTCTTAACTGATCTGCCTTATCAACTCCGCCCATAAATGTATTATAATCTTTTGTAACAAGAGGACATTTTATAATTTTTTTTGAACCATCATGTTCAGTGCGAGACACTGTACTTTCATCAGCACTGTGGTAGTTTGAATCAAAATAAACTATTCTGTTGTCTCTCCGCTTATACACAGTTATACCCATTTCCCTTTCTAATGTTTTGTCCTCAGCTAAAGAAGGAATATTTTTCCTGTTTGACCTTATAGTATCACATGCAAAAGTATTTTATGTTTTTAATTTTTCTAGCAAATGAATTGATGTAAAATAATTATCAAAAAATACTTTTATACCCTTATTCCAAAAAGGTTTTTTCAAACTTAGTACAACTCCCTCACCCAAACCATAATCAATAAAATCATCCACTATTTCTTCTTTCCCCTGGTACACCGAAAATCTACTAATGAATTCATTCTGATCTGCCAAACACCACAGTTTATAGCCCCTCTTTATTTTCTTCATCGGATTGTGTATTGTTTTATCGAACTTTGGCCTTTAAACAAAATCATAGATTCGTCCACACTAACTTCCCTAGTTACATTGTACAGTTCAGGTAATCTATCATTTATTGCACTAATAAAAGGTCTCAATTTGTAAAGTCTATTTTTACAGTTAGCAGGCATAGAACTGTTATCATTAACATGTAAAAAACTTAATATATTTTCAAACCGTTTGCGACTCATAGCATCTCGAACCATTTCAACTCCCAGGTCATTACTTGTAGACCAGTAGTCTCTCCAAGACGGTAGCTTATTATAACCCATTAAAAAGTTTATACCTATGAACGCATATAACTCTTCAAGCTGTAAATTTAATATTTTTCCTTGTTGTATAGCATATATAATATATTTGATTGAAAACAAATATCCTTCAAAATTGGTCCACAAACTTTAAGAAAAACTTCAGTTGGATTAGAACAATCCACAAACAGTCCATGAACAGGTCCTATAACAAATTAGTTTTTATAATTTATTTTATTAAAATAAATAGTTAGGTAGGCACCAACCACATTCTTAACTGTACACAATATCAAAGATAGGTATTAGGTAACATTATATCAAATTAAATAACGACACAGGTGTTTAAATTATTAATGTAACAAATACAAAATGTACCTAATTTCAAACTATAAGTTTTCATATTTTGTAAAACACCTACATACAAAATATTGTACAAACAAATTTTTTTATGAAAAATGCATAATATTGTAAATTGTTAATAATAAAATATACCTAATATATAAGATATTAAAATACACTATATAATATTATAATATATTTCCATAAGTATAATAATCGAGACTATACCTATTAGTGTATATTATATAATTATTATATTGCGGTACCTTTTTTATAAAAAATTTAACTATTTATACTTTCAAAATTATTATAATCAGGAATGGTCACATGATGATTTAGTTTTTTCCAGTTCATGCAACATTCAGGGGAAGTTTTTCTTTTTTTTGATATTTTTTGTCTTGTGTTTCTTGTCTTTTCTTCTTCAGCTATTGGTAAATCATGTCTAGATTGCTTATCACTTGATGTAGCAGCAATGAGTTCAACATCTATATTTTCAACAATTTCTATTGAAAGCTCTAAAATAATTAAAATGTTAATACCTTCAAAATCATTGTTATCAGCAGGAGTTGTAACATAATGGTTGATATTTTTTCTAGTTCATACAATGTTCAAGATTATTTTTTGTTTTTTTTTGTCTCTTGTTTCTTGTCATGTCTTTTTCAGTATAATTTCCAACAATATAACATGTAGACTGAACATCACTAGATGCACCAGCAACTGGTTTAAATTCCATATTATCAGCAAATTCTATTGGAAATTCTAAGATTATTATAAATAAATAATAAAAACCATGACATTTTTAAAAATATAAATGACATACCCATAATATTCAATTGTTGAAGATGCACATTACTATTTGGATCTGGGACATCTAAATAATCTCTTTCTTTGAAATATTCATCATCACTATCATTTTCAACATCGGTAAGTCCACCATCGTCACCAGGAATTCCGATTTAAGTTTCTATTTCAAAATCACTCAACTTTTTTAATTTGTACATAGTGAAACACTCAAACGTTCGATGTACGACGAGTCACTCTCTAGAAGTCTAGACGTTAGTCGGAATATTTAAAGTCACGATGACAACGGACCAATGGGACTTATAAGTCCGTTGCAATAATAAATTGAAACTAAATACTAAACGCACATATTATCATGTTTCAATGATACGCATTGGTTCATTAGATGTTTACGATAATAACAACATCGGCGTTAATTGATTATCAGTGGGTTTTCATGCGGTAGTTATTTTTAGAAAATTGGTGAATATTATTTGAAAAAAAATCTTATAAAATTATGTATACAGCGTTATCTATTGGTGTGCCATAAATTCACCTCCTATAAAATCGAAAGAAAACATCGTGACTTATATGTCTCATTGGTCACATAGAACATATTTTAGTTTCTTCCTTATTATATACGTGTAAAATGACAGCGGACTTAAAAGTCCCATTGGTCTCAAAGGGTTAATAAATAATGAAATCCAACAAAATAATTAAATTATTTGTATGTATTTGTTTATTTAATGGTACATCTGTACTAAATTACGGTAACCAAATTAAGTATTACAATATAACTAATTACCTACACACATTATAATATCAAATATTATTCAATTCAGCTGTAATTCTATCAATGAATAAACAACTAATAATGAGTAATAGCTATTTATTAATAACGATCAATTAATTATTTCTTCAACCTTCTGTTAATAATAAATGCATATATTTTGTTAATATACAATATTATATCCATTATTATAAATGATTATTTATAACTTATTATTATATTTATATTTATAAATAACAAATAATATTTCTAATTATTATTATTTTGTTTTTACAAAATAGAATGTATTTTAAATCCGGTGTTCGGAAAAAATGTATGCAATGTGACAATAAAATTAATTAACTCATTATAGTTACTTCATAACTTGGAACAAAATTTAACTGGTTAACTTAGAAGTTACTACTAAGAAAGAGTAACTTAATTTTAACTTTTTAATAACCAGCCTTGTATTTTTGATACTTCCTTATTTATATTTATAATTTTAATATTTATTAATTATTTCAATACTTGATATATTATAGGGTTTAGATATTCAAACTTTAAGATTCCGCTACGACGGCTACCCGATTCACCAAGATGACACACCGGCCACTATGCAGATGGAGGACAAAAGTGTTATTGAAGTGTATCAAGATCAGACCGGTGCTTGATATTTATAAATATTTATTTTATAAATTATTTTATAATATATCACATTTTATTTAGATCATCTTGGTTTATTTTATACCTTGATACCATATAGTGTATGTTTTCTCCAAAGCCATATTTAAAAAAAATGTATGAATAATATAAATCTTATAATCAACTACAGCAATTTAAGAATTAACTGCATTGATTTAATAAATATAAGGTGTATAGAATGTTATAAATTATGCCATGGTAAATCATAGGTTATCGATCACAAACTTTATCTTATTGGTGTTCAAGTGTCAATTATCTCGATAAAATATTAAAACCATCTATTATATTATGAGAGGTGAATAAGTCGACTAACGATTAAAAATAATAAAAATGTGAATATAATAACATTAGTTCCATTTTTTAAAGAAATTTTCTTATGTGTTTTAAAAAATAGCACTCAGGTTCAGAGAGACCCTCGTATTTAGACCTTTACAAGACCACATTGTGCCTCTGAAACCAGTTGAAGAAACACCGTTTTAAAGTATTTAATAAAGAATAATATTTATTAATCTCAAACGATAAATTAAAATTAAAAATATACTAGCATTTTTTTACTAACTGTTGCATTACTGGACAACATTTTTTTGCAATTTTTTAAACTTATGTCGTTAATTATACGAAAAAAAATTATGCTGAATTCAGAATTTGGTGGTCAGACTTAGTTTATTAAGTTATGGCTTAATGAAGTTAGGACACTGTATTGAGAGGTTATGAGTGCAACAGGGCTACTATGGTGGGCAATCCAACTGCGTCGGATCGCAGGCAATATGTCAATATGCTGTAGCACATCAGGTAGACAAGGCGATGAGCGCTTTTTAAGAGTACCTTTGATAGTGGGGTCCATTCTTGTGCTTTTATGAAAGTCAAAAAGAGTAAATCTTAAATACAGTTTGAGCGTCAAACTAGTCGTTATGATATTTTATATTTTATGTTTTTATATTGTAAATTGATACTTACACAGGCTGGATACTCTTAATCTGTCCAGTGCTTTTTCGTGAACATACAAATGTTAGGTCAAAAACTGATTGCAAATCATTCAAAAAGAATGACGGTTTCAACATTTATCAAAAAGACTATTCTCAAACGGTTTTCGAATGCTAGTTTGATAGTAGTTTTCGACACATAATTTCAAATTTTATTTAATTGTTAAACTGTTAAGCAAGGCTGGGCAAGTTAATGATTTTTTTTAACTCAGTTAAGTTAAGTTAATATACACCAATTACAAAAAGTTAAAAGTTAAAAGTTAATTTAATTATAGGTTAACTCAGTTAAGTTAAAAGTTAATACACATTTTTTTTACATTTTTTATTAAGTTAAAAAAAGTTAATTTTTTTTTACACATACTTTCTTTTTTTACAAACCCTGAAACCCAAAACTAATTTTTATGACTATACAACAAATATTTATACTTTATACAGTATATTATTGTATTTCATCGAAGTTTTCATTTCTAAAAAAAGAACACTAATTATCTATATATAACAAGTAATAAATACCTAAAAATAATGAATTAATATTATTTAATCAAGCTTTGTAAACAGATACTATTTGTGAGTGTGTGTTTGAAATAGAGTATTACTGTGTTTAATAAATAATCACTAAATATTGTATTAAATAGGTACTAGGTATTACCTACATACTTACTAAAATACTAAAATATAACATATTATAATTTAAATAGAAATATAATAAATAAGTTGAAATAGTTGGATAATATTTTATTATTTTAACATACACATTTCAGTCATATAGTTAAACTATAAATTTAAACTTAAATAAGTAGCATTAATCTTTATACTAAAAAATTATTTTTCTTTATTTTGTTAAATCAAATTAAATATTTACTTTTGCATAACAATATGTTTATAGTTGAAAAACAATTCATTCAAAATAATAATAAATATATACTAAAATATATAATAATAATTAAAACCGTTATTTAACTTCATTGAACTTTAAGAGGAGGGTCATTTCAAAATTTTTATCTGCTATGGATGATCTTCTCTTCTCGAAAAACTGTCCCCCAGCACTGAACAAGCATTCTACATGCGCAGATAATGGAACTGCAGTATTAAACTCTAAATATGGCTTTTTGAGAATTTGTGGTAAATCATTAACATTTTTAATATTATTATTTGTAAAATAATCATTTATGATAGTTTTAATATAATTATCATTATTTGATATTAAAGTTTCATTGAAAATAAAAAAATTATCCTCAGCATTGTCACCGGAAGAAGTATCAATATTTTGAAAAGTTGAACTTAATGTTACATTACTTTCTTGTGAATTTTCAACACTTTGTTCATTAACATATCCATTTAATGCTTCTTTAATATCATTTCTCTTATCTAGATCTGCCCAGTGAAGTTTAAACTTGGGTATTAAACTGGCTGCCAATTGACATGATTGAAATTCGGTATATCTTTGAAATCTATAAAATATAATGGCAATTTACAAAATAATAATACACTAAAAGTAAATTATTTTCGTATAATTTGATGACATATTTGAATATTTAAATATTTTTGAGTCATGGATGGATGTATATTATATATATTTCATATTCACAATTAAAATGAATTACCTTTTATCTATACCTTTCTTTAATGCATTAACAAGCGGTCTACAAAAAGATAAATTGTTCATCTCGTTTAATGATTTATTTATTACACTTATTGTGGGGAGCAGGTACCCTAATGACACATGTTTATCTCCCTGCAGTATTTCCAAGGCCTGAGCTATAGGCTTCATCACCTAATATAATTTGGAAAACAATAAAATTCATGTTATAAAAATTATATTGTAATAATTATGTACAAATTATTATATTATTAGATTAAATTTGTCATTTACTTTGCAATATTCATTTAAAAACGCAACTTCTCGAGGTTTTGAAATAATTGGCAAATGCGGCTCAATACAGATCATTTCAATTTTTTCTTTATGATTCACAACACATTTTATGGCGTCATAGTAAGAATTCCACCTGGACATACAATAAAATAATAATACAATTAAGACAATTATTTGTACATCTTTAAATACTTTTGTACAGTACTAATTATGAGCTGTAAATTAGCATTGTCAAATTCAGCTTGACTTAAAGTTTTTGAACGAACTTTGCCTACTTCGCAAAGTTTTAACTGCTTTTATGATTCTTGAACAGAAAAATCTTCATTCGATCTTTTTTTGGTGCAAATATTGAACGCATTTAAATGATTGTGATGTACAAGCTGGAAAATATATTATTTATTATTCATTAGTAATATTTAAATGTCCTGTTAGCATATTTTATTTTAGTTTTAATTTTAGCTCTAAACGTGTGCTCTAAACGTAGCTCTAAACGTAGCTCTAAATGTGTTCTATTAAATTTCATCTATTATAAATTTATAACAATACTTAAATAAAAATGAAAAATTATTATTTATTTTTTTAACTAGGTAAACAAATTTAAATAATTAATTAAATGTAATTATCCTATTCTTATAAATTCATATATACTTTTTCAATTTGAGTACCTATAATTAATGATTATTTAACAATTAAATATTTTTATAATTTATGAATACTTAACGTACTTTAATATGTGTTCTTAAATTTGAGTTGGATGTTTGAGAAGTAGAAATCTTTTTATTTTTTGGTTTGCATAAAATGCATTTGAAATATACATTTGGTCCATCATCTTTGCTTGATAATTGTTCAAAGTAATCGTTTAAGAATGGCCACCGTAATGTTATTTCCGTTTCAGTCATGACGAAAATCTTAATGCTGAAAGACATTAAATAATAAGATACAATTCAAAATAATTAAATATCTATTTCTACTTCAATATTAGTTGTTACTTAGTACTTACCTTATGCAAATGTCCTTATATTGATTTAAATTGTTGAATAGGATGAGTAAGTATATTCAATTATTATATTTTAATTATAGGTAAACGTGCATACTGTTTATGTCGTTCGTGTACAACTACAAGTTCACAACTGAATACTGATAAAATGTCAGGCCCACATCACACAAAATCAAAATATCAATAATTGGTTTTTGTTTATTTTTAGACTTGTTGGATTTATTTTTTCCCGGAATGACGACTTCGGTCATCGATAACAATGATATACCCGCATAATATAGGTATAGCCATAATGCCATATATAGTCATAAAGGGACAATATTATGTCTATATTATTATTGTAACTTGATATAATTAATTTAATAATATAAAACCTTTTATTATAAACTATTTTCTGATGTATACCACTATACAGGGTGACGGGTGTTCATTTAGAGTACAGAGTAATTAGAAAAATAGACAATTTTTAAAAATTAACTTAACTTATTCCATAAAATGAAAATCAACTCGTTAATTTCACGTTAATTAAAAAATAAATTTAATGAGTTAATAGTTAAGTTAATGAATATCCAAAATTAACTAGTTAAGTTAAAAAGTTAAGATAAAATTAACTTTTTAACTTAACTTTAACTTTTTAACTCGTTAATGCCCAGCCTTGCTGTTAAGTATATTTTTTTCAGTGGTACATTAAAAAACTTTTAACTTTCTTAATCCTGTTGTTTATTCCCTATAATATTTATATTTATTGCATTTTTTATATGACAATTTAGAACTCAATATGCAATTGAATACTCTGTATAATATAAGAAAAATAGTCATTTTTACTGAGTCATCAAACTATATACCCTATCTATACTATTCTTATTTTGAGCAGAGTAAATTAAACATGGAAATAGTTCATTTTATTGATGATGATGAACTAAGACAAATTGTATAACAGGAAGATCCTTTTGTTTTTAAATCCCACCTTAATTATTAGATACCTACCCAATATTTTTTATAACAAAGAACAAATATAGGGAAAGTTTATTATTTAACAATAATTATAATAATAATAACAACAATATACAAATTAATATACATAAAAATCTTATTATGTTTTTGATTCTCTCTTTAAAAGCTAGGCTTGTGCTAAAGAGAGAGAATTCAATACATTAAAGTGAAGAACTGATAGA